ATTTTAATTGTCTATCAGTCACCATCAAAATCACTTAAATGAATGAAGGTGAACAGGTAGCTTGAAAAAGGTTCCATTTTACTTTTATTTGCAGATATCCTCTTTTATCGCTGGCCTTATATACGCTTTGACAGCCGCAGATCTTCTCTCTCCGCTCCCATCGTGGCGAGAAGGTGTGGATTCCGGTGATCTGAGGTTATATTGTGGGCTGGAGGCGTTTGCTTGCTTCGTCACGCTGATGGTCGCAATCGTCCTCCTCTCCGGAGCGAATAAGGTCAGCTTGAAAATATTATTGGAATGATGTATCTTTAGTTGGTGGTCGATTATCGTGAAAAAATAGTCGATTTTCAATCAATTTGGTCGATCGTATGACCGTTTTTGGTCGATTTTCATCTAATTTAGTCTATATTACGACCGTTTTTGGTCGATTTTCATCGAATTTAGTCGATATTATGACCGTTTTCGAACGATTTTTGGACAAATTGATGGATGGTCGACTGACGTGAAAAAAATCGATTTTCAACCGATTTGGTAGATTTTTTTACAGTTTTTGAGCAATTTTTGAAAAAAATGGTCGACTTCTGGGAAAGGATACTCGATTTTATGACCTTTTTGGTCCACTATCGACCAATTTGCTCGATTTTGTGACCGTTTTCGAGCAATTTTTGGATGAATTAATAGATGATCAATTGCTATGAAAAAAATCGATTTCCAACCGATTTGGTCGATTTTATGACCCTTTTACCTCCATTGTTGACCTATTTGGTCAATTTTTTTATCAATCCGTCTCTTCTTTTAGCAAAAAATGCTTGCAAAAAAACATGTACATATTCAATTCGTTAATTGCAACAAATTATAATTATAAATTCGAAATTCTAGCGAATCCTTGGAGCCTGCCAGCTATGGATGATTGTTCACGTGATCATAAACGCGGTAAATTTTGCTTTCTCCATGCAACAAATGTTGAGCCACGACAACTTTGGTCCGGCAACCTTGGTTCTCAGCGGGGTCCTTTGGGCGTGCTACACGTTCTACGTCGTGCACTGCTTCGCCCTAGAAATTTGGCTGTATGAAAACGCACATGGGGGTGAAAATTTGGGGGGGATGATGCCCCCGCCCCCACAACAATCGGCCTACTATCAACCCGCCCAACCCAACGTGAACTACTCGCAAGCCAATGTGGTCAGCCATGCACAACAATCGGCACAAAAACAATATTCGCAACATTATCAGAAACCGGAAGTCGGAACGGGAACGACACCTTCAAAAACGAAAGGGATTCAATCAAAATCTCGAATTTATTAAGCGTTTTATGCACGTAAAGAAGACTCAAGATCGTCAAAATTGAATAGCACCTTTTTTAATTATTTCTCGTTTCTGGGATCTTATTTTAAAATTCTGGACGACCAATTTGTAGTCGGTGAGTTGATTGATGGAACAGCGTTGAGTTTTTGAGGCCAGTTTCGACGAGTTCCAATTTTTCTGAAGGTTTCTTAAACTTGAGATCTCCTCCGCCAAAAAGGGTCAAAATTTGGGGTGTATATTTTTAAAAAGTTGGGAACGACTTGCCCTACAAATTTGCTCGTGCAGAATTTTAAAATAAATTCCCAGAGCGGAGAAGTGATTTAAAAGTGCTGAGTTTGATCAGTCTTACGCTAACTATTAACAATTTCCGGAACATTTCCAGAATAGACCAAAGAAACTCCAAAACACCTGCAACCGCTTAGATGCCAAATTGACAATATTATTTTCATAAAATTACATTTTTGTATGTATTGTATGAAATATCATGTCAAATAACAAATAAATGAGTATCAGACGTATGTATATGTATGTATATGTTGCTACTAATAAAGGAATTGCAAAGTCCCATCGATTTTAAAAAGCGGAACGAGTGCAAAATTGGCACGGCAAATTTTTTGCTCGGATCATCCACTCCCACATGACTCTCACGCCGAAATGTCTGTACATTTTAAATTTGGTGCTGTTTGATCACATCCTGAACGCCTCACCTAAACAAAATATGGGCAAGTACGAATCCCTGAAATAATTAGCACCCTTAAGGGTCCCATTAAAATCCAAGCGTTCCTACGATACCAAAAGTTAAGCAATCGAACGTCCAGAAAAAATACGGGGTCAAAAACAACTCTCTTAAATTTACACCATTTTTGCCACATCACGACCACACCCGCTTTTTTATCCACACCTGGCTGGCTAAATTACGAAACTAGTAAAAGGTCCGACGCCACCGTGAATCCGTGACACCGAAAAATTGTACTTTAAATTGTACTAGAGTGAATTATAAAGAAAAGAAAGTACTACACAGTTTGGGTAAGATAATTGTACTTAAAACCCACTTTTCTCTCGGGGGCATTTCCAGTTTCCGCACCATTTTTCGTCCAACCACACCCACTTTTTCGCCTAAATTCCCACCTTCAAAATGTACCTAACCAACAAACATAAAGCAAGGTAAAGATCATTCATCATAACAAGGATTAAAATCTCGAGCATCTTTTCTTTTTAATTTCAGAGGGTGACCAATCGCAGTGCAGAAATATTTACTTAATTTTAATTAATTAATTATTATTTAATTTTTTATAATTTAACTGTGACTAAGTAACATTTACTGACAATTAATTCCCATTTTTCACTTGTCAAAGGAATGTATGGTTTAGATTTGTATCCGATATCTTTGTATTCTTGCCTGATGAAAATGACAGTAGTTCATTGAAAGCTAGCAATTTTCAACAATAAAATCAAGAAATAATCCCCGAAAACCGCAGAAATGAGTGATCAGAAATATTTAGCTGAACAAAATTTGGAAACATTAAGTGAGCCGGATTCCTACCCCGTTTTTTGTCTGGGAGCGACCACGCCCCCTTTTTATCCACTTCTGGCTGGTTAAATTACGAGACTACTAAAACATCCGACGCCACTGGGAATCCGGGACACCAAAAAAATTACAAACCCAACTTTTTCTCGGGGGCATTTCCGGTTTTTCGTGTCACCCACCCACTTTTTGTGCTAAATTCCCACCTTTAAAATGTCTTAATCTACCGCACCTCAAGCTTCTCCCTCTCAGGCTCGTCCCCCTGTAGCTCCTCCCCCTCCTGAAACCACGAATCCCTGCTTGTGCTGTTATAACCATTTACAATGTGCGGTCAGATGTATCGCCCTTTCCGAAATTGTGAGTCATTTACTTCCCAATTTTCATTGTTTTATTCAGGTGCAAGAAATAACGGGAAATAAAGAGAAAGCAGTTTTTTAGCTATTTTTTTTAACCTGCAAAAAATCCAAGGCGCAAGAAACTACGCCCCGCCGCTATAATTACTTCATACCGCGCGTGCGCGCGCCCGCGCGCGTGGCTAGATGGCGCATATTTCTTGCACTTCGCATTTCTGGCGTTGCTTCCTTTGCACTGCAAGACCTCGTTTTTTCCCTGAATTTTCACTGTTTTTACCCGGGTTTCGGGTGCAAATGACCATATCCAAGATAAAACGGGAAGAGACCGGTTTCTTTCAGGTATTTTGACCTGCATGAAATGCACGGCACGAGATACTCCTTCCCGCCACGATAGTTCCTACGGCGCGGCGCATATTTCTCGCAATTTTTTGCATTTTGCCGTGCAAAAATTCTAACTGGATCTGGATGAAACGAAACATTGCCAATTTTGCCACGCCCGAATTATTTTCGTTTCTTAATTTCTTGCAGCTGCTCTGTCTCATTACGTGTCTCGTATTAATTTTGGACGCCACACGACCCAATACGCCACCCTTTCTGCGAACGGCGGAGAAAAAGGATATTTATGCGTATCGTGCGGGCATGGGGGCCGCTTCCGCCGTCGTGCTCGTCTTCTCCGTCCTCCTCTTCGTCGGGGCGCATGAGGTGAGTTGACACATATGTTTGGAATGGGACACAAATTATTTAGTGGATGGGAGATTAGGGTAACAAAAATAGTCGAATTTTAGATCAATTTGGGGGGATTTTGTGACCAATTTGGTCAATATTATGACCGTTTTTGGCCGATTTTGTGACTTTATTTGGTCGATTTTATGATCGTTTTGGGGAGAGTTTGTGACCTGGTTTGGTCGATTTTGTGACCGTTTTATAGTCGATTTTATTACCGTGTCGGAGGGATTTTGTGATCCCTTTGATCCATTTTGTGACCGTTTTATGGTCGATTTTATGACGGCTTTGGTCAATTTTGTGACGGCTTTTTGACCGATTTTATGACCGTTTTTGGTCAAGAAATAATCCCCGAAAACCGCAGAAATGAGTGATCATAATATTCTCGGAGGATAGAAAAAGTTCTACGAAATCCTTAGAAAGCTTCGCGGTGAAGCAAGTGAAGAAGTTATCCGCAATATAAAGAAATTGGAGTCATCATATAAACAAGATATTCATTTGACTAATCACATCATATTCCTGAGACGCTGTAAGAAACACGATGTAATGCCAAGAGGACTACAACTCAAGGAATTTCCCAGAAGATTTGGATCGCATGACAAAATGAATAAGATGCAACAACACACTGAATCAAGATTACTAAATTGCATGATAAATATCAACTATACGAAATCAAATCATGTTCAAACTGATATTGCAAAACTAAGATCAACTATTCGTTCATCAATCCCGTCTCTGTGGAATTGGCTCTGTAATTTAATGAACACAATGAGGAATATCGTCCACTTAAAAATAAGCCAAACTCAGAAGGAGAAATTCAAGAACTTAATGGAGAAAAATGTGGATCAATATTTGAACAAAGTTTATCAGACCAATAAAGACTTACTATGCAAACCTACCATCAACAACATGTCATCTCGTCCTCTCACAAAATTTGAAGAACAACTGCTCAACTTGGGACTAAACTTTTCACTGCCAGTAAAAAATGTTGGTTACACAATGTGCGACACTGCTGCCACGATAGAACTTCGCATGATGGATATAGAACTGACAGATCATCAGAAAATAAAATCAGGACTGGGGTAGCAAAAATAATGTCTCAAAACATTCAAAAAGAAAAAACAAAACAACGCTGGGAAGCCTGGATAAGAAATTCAATCAAATCACTATTAGAGGATGATACAATTTGCATTACAAAAGCTGACAAAGGAAATTCTGTTGTCATAATGGACAGAAACAAATACATGGAAAAAATGTCATCCATGATTGTAACAGGTCCATATACAATTTTAAATCATGATCCAACTCCACTATATGCCAAATTAGTAGCTGAAAAGTGCCACAAACTGACGGAACTCAAACTTCTCCCAGAACATCTATTGGAAAAAACCCCAAGGTCACCAATCATCTATGGAGCCCCAAAGGTTCACAAGAAAGACATCCCTTTACGTCCAGTTGTTGATTACCGAAACTCTCCAACCTACAAATTGTCTAAATACCTAGCAAACATTCTAACAAAAGTCGCTTCCAAACATGAGTTCTCCATAAAAAACTCGACAGAATTTGTTGAAGAACTAAAGAAAACGAGATCTCGACCTGGAGATAAGAAAGTATCTTTCGATGTCACTTCACTGTTTACAATGGTTCCAATTCCAGAGACTCTTGAATACATCAAACAGAGATTAGAAGAATATCCAGATCTAAAAAAATTGACCTCATTACCCATCAATGATATCATGTCTCTCCTAGAATTATGCACAACCTCTTCATATTTCCAGTTCCAAAACCAATACTACAAGCAGAACTATGGTACTGCGATGGGATCACCACTATCTCCAATAATAGCAGAATTTTTTCTACAAAAACTGGAGTTAACCAAAATTAAGAATAACCGGTTTATCTACTTTTGGAGACGCTACGTGGATGACGTACTGTGCATAGCCAGAGGAAGAAATCAAGATAAAATACTAAGAGATATTAATAGTTTTCATCCTTCTATTCAATTCACAGTAGAAGAAGAAATTGACGGAAAAATACCCCAACAACAAAAAAGATGAAGAAATCAAAAAAAGAATTATTCTTCCCTGGGCTGGAGACGTAACATCTAAAATCGCTTCATATTTAGGAAACAAAATGGATGTAGATATTGGCTACTTTCCTGGTCCGAAAATTGGATCAATTGTTTGTAACGCCAAACAGAAATTGCAAAAGCCAAGAGCAGGAGTTTACAGTATACAATGCAATTCGTGTCCTGCTGTTTATATCGGTGAAACAGAACGAGATTTCATGGTCAGAATTGCCGAACATCAGAATGACATCAGAAGAGAAAGTACAACCTCGCCTGTAGCAGCTCATATGATAGAAAACGACCACCAACTGGACCCAAATTCCTTTAAACTCGTTGTCCCAGAAAACAGAAAATTCTTCAGAAAGTTTAAAGAAGCCCTGCACATTAAAAAGTTAACGAGCAAAATTAACATATCCAGCGGAGTCAACATCAACCCAATCTGGTCCTCAACACTACTGAATTTTTTATAATTTAACTGTGACTAAGTAACATTTACTGACAATTAATTCCCATTTTTCACTTGTCAAAGGAATGTATGGTTTAGATTTGTATCCGATATCTTTGTATTCTTGCCTGATGAAAATGACAGTAGTTCATTGAAAGCTAGCAATTTTCAACAATAAAATCAAGAAATAATCCCCGAAAACCGCAGAAATGAGTGATCAGAAATATTTAGCTGAACAAAATTTGGAAACATTAAGTGAGCCGGATTCCTACCCCGTTTTTTGTCTGGGAGCGACCACGCCCCCTTTTTATCCACTTCTGGCTGGTTAAATTACGAGACTACTAAAACATCCGACGCCACTGGGAATCCGGGACACCAAAAAAATTACAAACCCAACTTTTTCTCGGGGGCATTTCCGGTTTTTCGTGTCACCCACCCACTTTTTGTGCTAAATTCCCACCTTTAAAATGTCTTAATCTACCGCACCTCAAGCTTCTCCCTCTCAGGCTCGTCCCCCTGTAGCTCCTCCCCCTCCTGAAACCACGAATCCCTGCTTGTGCTGTTATAACCATTTACAATGTGCGGTCAGATGTATCGCCCTTTCCGAAATTGTGAGTCATTTACTTCCCAATTTTCATTGTTTTATTCAGGTGCAAGAAATAACGGGAAATAAAGAGAAAGCAGTTTTTTAGCTATTTTTTTAACCTGCAAAAAATCCAAGGCGCAAGAAACTACGCCCCGCCGCTATAATTACTTCATACCGCGCGTGCGCGCGCCCGCGCGCGTGGCTAGATGGCGCATATTTCTTGCACTTCGCATTTCTGGCGTTGCTTCCTTTGCACTGCAAGACCTCGTTTTTTCCCTGAATTTTCACTGTTTTTACCCGGGTTTCGGGTGCAAATGACCATATCCAAGATAAAACGGGAAGAGACCGGTTTCTTTCAGGTATTTTGACCTGCATGAAATGCACGGCACGAGATACTCCTTCCCGCCACGATAGTTCCTACGGCGCGGCGCATATTTCTCGCAATTTTTTGCATTTTGCCGTGCAAAAATTCTAACTGGATCTGGATGAAACGAAACATTGCCAATTTTGCCACGCCCGAATTATTTTCGTTTCTTAATTTCTTGCAGCTGCTCTGTCTCATTACGTGTCTCGTATTAATTTTGGACGCCACACGACCCAATACGCCACCCTTTCTGCGAACGGCGGAGAAAAAGGATATTTATGCGTATCGTGCGGGCATGGGGGCCGCTTCCGCCGTCGTGCTCGTCTTCTCCGTCCTCCTCTTCGTCGGGGCGCATGAGGTGAGTTGACACATATGTTTGGAATGGGACACAAATTATTTAGTGGATGGGAGATTAGGGTAACAAAAATAGTCGAATTTTAGATCAATTTGGGGGGATTTTGTGACCAATTTGGTCAATATTATGACCGTTTTTGGCCGATTTTGTGACTTTATTTGGTCGATTTTATGATCGTTTTGGGGAGAGTTTGTGACCTGGTTTGGTCGATTTTGTGACCGTTTTATAGTCGATTTTATTACCGTGTCGGAGGGATTTTGTGATCCCTTTGATCCATTTTGTGACCGTTTTATGGTCGATTTTATGACGGCTTTGGTCAATTTTGTGACGGCTTTTTGACCGATTTTATGACCGTTTTTGGTCGACTGTCCACCTATGTAGTTTATTTTATGAAGCTTTTTGGTCCATTCCATTTTAAGACCGTTTTTGTCTCTGATTTGACCAATTTTATTCCCTTTTTTTGGTCCAAGTTTTCCCCAAAATGATCATCGATCTTTTAACCTCTAATTATTCGTAATTAAAATTGAAATTGAATTGAAAATTCCTAATTAAAAATTCTAGCGGAACCTTGGCTGCTGCCGGCTATGGTTCGCGTCATCTTGAACCTGGGATACGCTGCCTTCGCTGTTCAACAATTAGTCTCTTTTAACAGCTATTCTCAATCTATTTTCATGCTGGTGATCGGGATCCCGATTTCCTTCTACTATTTGTACGTCGTCCACTGATTCATGCTCGAAATCTGGCTGTACGAGAAGACCGCGGAGAGCAGAGGGATGACCCCACAACCCGCTTATTATCAAGCCGACCCACAAGCCAACCATCCACAACAGCAACATTCGCAACAGTTTCAGAAACCGGAAGTCAAACCGCAAGGGATTCAATCTAAATCGAGAGATTATTCATAAAAATAACGTAAATTTTATGGCCACCTGAAAGTGCGGAGGAAATTGAAATTACGAAAATTGTATGGGTAAAATTAATTAAAACATTGATAAAAAGTATGTGAAATATTGAGCTTTTTCATAAGTAAGTACCATGCATGAGTCAATTTTGAAAAATAAACTATTTATGTATACTTTATTAAAAAATATTGAAATTCGAGGATTCATCGGCACCAAAATCGGCACATTTTTAAATATTCTGGGATCTGCAACAGTAGCCGAGATGCCAAGTTTTATCCACAACAATCGGCACAACAGCAACATTCGCAACAGTTTCAGAAATCGGAAGTCAAACCGCAAGGGATTCAATCTAAATCCAGAGATTATTCATAAAAAATATATGTAACGTTTGTAAATAGGACTCATCGGAAAAATTAGGACTTCTTTAAGAATTTCTGGCCTCTGGGAATTTATTTTGAAATTCTGAACGACAAATTTGCTGTCGGTGAGTGGATTGATGGAATGGCGTCGAGTTTTTTGACCCAGTTTCGACGAGATCCAATTTTTCTGAAGGCTTCTTAAACTTTAGATCTCCTCCGGCAAAAAGGGTCAAAAACTGGAGTGTGTATTTCTGTAAAAAAAATAGCAACGACCAGAGTTCTGACGTCCAGAATTTTAAAATAAATTTCCAGAGCTGAAAACTGATTAAAAACAGAGAGACTTTGAATCTTTTGGGGTCATAATTTATTAAATATTATTTTTTGCAGTTGCTCTCTCTCATTGGAATGGTAGCATTAATTTTGCAAGGCTTTCAAGTTATCTGGATCCCACCAAAACCGAATCCAGCGGAACTCACGGCGTACTTCGTGATCATGGCGCTCACTTGCTTCATCGTGCTCGCCGTCTCGATCATCCTCCTCAAGGGGGCGAATAAAGTGAGTTTGCAAATATTTTACAGTGATCCATCATTCATAGTCGTTTCATTCATAGAGAATGATGGTAAATTAAAACGAATTTCCTGTCATTTGAATGAAAATGACAGGCAAAAATTCCGTCATTTCAGATGAATGACTGTGAATGAAAGGATTTCTCACTCATTTCATTTTTCACCCTATGCTTAATACATGGGGCGCAGTAAGAAATGAAGTCAGATGAAGTGAAATGAAATGAATTTGAAAGAAAATGACTGAATGTGAATGAGAAAATCTTCAGTCAGAAATCGGGATGACTGAAGCTTGAATGAAAAAAGTTTTTTGAACAGTTATGTTTAAAGACCGTTTTTGGTCGATTTTTTGGCTGTTTTTTGGTCCATTTTACGACTTTTGGTAAATTTTAAGACCGCTTTTGGTCCATTTTACGGCCTTTCTTGTCACTTGTCCGATTTTATGACCGTTAAGAGTCATTTTTTTGACCACTTCGTCTCTCTATTTAAGGGAATAATGGAAAAAAATCCGATCCTCACTAACAGTCACATGACCACTAATTATTACTATTAACACTTGCTTATTCTGCATTCCAGCGGGACATGGCATCCTGCCGGTTGTGGTTTGTAGTTCGCATATTCTTAGACGTCGTATTCGTTGTCTTTGCTGTCCAACAAATCGTGGAAAGCCGCAATTATCCTCAAGCCGTTTACATCCTGGTGCTCCGGATCCCGCTGTCGCTCTACTATTTGTACGTCGTCCAGTGCTTCATGCTCGAAATCTGGCTGTACGAGAACGCCCGCAAGATGAGTGGGGAGATGACGCCGGCTTATCAATCTCCAAATGTTAACTACTCATCCGCCAAGGTTATCAACAAGGAACAATCTGCGCGAAAAAAGAGTCAGCAACCGGAAGTGGTAAAAGCAACTGCACCAAGCGCCGCGGTGATGCCAAGTTCGCAGTAAATTGTCAACAAATTTCTGTGGTTGAAGAAAAATTACATTTTTATATGCAATTTATGTACCAAAGAAGATGCCAATTAATTAATAAATAGTCATAGCAGATGTAAATATGCTTATGTTGTTAACAATTAATTAATAATTAGTTAATTAATTAATTAATCCTTAATTGCTACTGTAATGGATTTAAACAATTTGCATCCGGATCCCGCTGTCGCTCTACTATTTGTACGTCGTCCAGTGCTTCATGCTCGAAATCTGGTTGTACGAAAATGCTCGCAAGATAAGTGGGGGGATAACGCCGGCTTGTCAACCTCCAAATGCTAATTACTCATCCGCCAAGGTTATCAACCAGCAAGAACAATCTGCGCGAAGAAAGAGTCAGAAACCGGAAGTCGAAAAAGCAACGGGAACACCAGCAAGCGCCGCGGTGATGCCAAGTTCACAGTAAATTTACAACCTATTTTTATATAAGAGTAGAATATAAAAAACTGTATTTTTGCATTACAATTTATGTACGAAAGAAGGTGTCAATTAATAAATTAAAGCTGCTGATAATTAATTAATTAAAAGAGTGCCTTAATTGCTGTTCATGAGGATCGCTCTACTATTTGTACGTGGCCAGTGCTTCATGCTCGAAATCTGGTTGTACGAAAACGCTCGCAAGATGAGTGGGGAGAGGACGCCGGCGTATCAATCTCCAAATGCTAATTATTCATCCTCCAAGGTTATCAATCATCAACAACAATCAGCAAGAAGAAAGAGTCAGAAACTAGAAGTCGAAAAGGGAACTGGAACACCACCAAGCGCCGCGGTGATGCCAAGTTCACAGTAAATTGTCAATAAGTTTCTATGTGGTTGAAGAAAAGTTACATTTTTATATGCAATGTACATATGTACGAAAGAGGATGTCAATTAATAAATTAAAAGATTATAACAGATGTACGTACGCTGTTAGTTAATTTAGTTAATTAATTACAAGAATGCCTTAAGCAATCAAGTTTGTAGCAAGCAAGTTTAAAGAAATATACACCCCAGATTTTGACACCTTTTGAAGGAGGAGATCTCAAGTTTAGGAAACCTTCAGAAAAATTGGAACTCGTCGAAACTGGCTCAAAAAACTCAACGCCATTCCATCAATCAACTCACCGACTACAAATTTGTCGTCCAGAGGTTTAAAATAAATTCCCAGAGCGGAGAAACGATTAAAAATGTGCTGATTTTGACAATTTTGGTGAAGGCGTATCGAGACCCACGTTCAACGTTAGGGTTTCTATTAAGCATGTTTATATGTGTGCATGTACATATGTATAAACGTGTACGTTATTACATTTGTAATTAATTACAAAGCTGCCTTAATTGCCATACTAATGGAGTTTAGGTATATAATTGGTTCGTAGTTTAAGCCTGGCCTGAGCTATTGTACCATGCTTAATTATAATTAGTTAGAAATAACGATGCATGTATGTATGCATATGCTACCATACGTATGGTAGCATATGGGTTAAAAGGTATGCATACCTTTTAACTAATTGGTTTCAATTATGTTGGCGGAAATTAATTGTACAATTCTAATTAAGAAAATTAAATTGGAAAGTAGGAGAATCCAATTATCTTTGTAAAACTAATTACCCCACCACCACCACCACTTGGCTAATTGCTAATTGCATTTTTAATTAGATTTCTCAACCAAGGAGAAGCGGAATGCATTCTTCAGCGTAAGTAGTTGTTCACTCCTCGTGATTCAGTAGGGTAGACAAAGGCGAGTGCTTCGTCTGTACATACGTGCAAATTCTCAATTTTTTTATCTTATCGCTACTAATTTGAAATTTTTTTATCTTATCGCTACTAATTTGAAATTTTTTTATCTTATCGCTACTAATTTGAAATTTTTTTATCTTATCGCTACTAATTTGAAATTTTTTTATCTGTTTTTGGCTAAAATTACGAATTTTTCGTTCTTTTGTTGGTTAAAAAAGTTTCGAAATAAGTGAAGAAATTAAGAGAAACTGGAATTGTTAAAATTATGAAGTGCATAGCACCACTAAAAATTTAAAATTTTCACAAAATTTGCCTCCGTTTTAGTTAAAATCGCTTCGAAATAAGTGAAATTCAGGGAAACTGGAACTATTTAAATTCTGAAGTGCATTACACGACGAGAAATTTGCAATTTTTATGAAATTTGTGTTTTTTTTGTTAAAATTGTTTCGAGTTAAGTGAAGAAATTATTTAAATTCTTAAGTGCATCCATCACTGAAAAAATCTGCAATTTTACGAAATTATGCTCTACATATTTTTGCTAAAACGGTTTCACATAATTCTGTGTTTCAAAGAACAAATAAAATCCTGAAAAAACGAATCGTTAAAAATCTAAATTTCATCTCACTACTACAAACTTACGAAAATTCGTCTCCCTTTTTCCAAAATTCTGCAAATTTCAAAGAGTTCATTGAAACCCTGCAAAAAATGGAATTCCTTAAACTACCGATGCTACAATTACCCCCAAATTTGAGGAAACTTCTCGACAAAAACGGTGGCCTTTACAGTTTCCATAAATTCCAAGAGGACAAAATCGTCGCCAAGTGTAACCTCTGTCCAAACAAAGTCATCAAATGTTCCATCACCGTGAGCTCCAATCTTCTCAGCCATTACAAGGTAGCAAAAAATTTGCATAATACGTAAACAGAGGGCGGATATGTATTTAGTTTGCGAAAAATCAATGAAATATGTATTTAATATTTAGAAGATAAAAAAATGCCGAAATATTTCCTCTATTTTATGAAAAAAATACGTAAATATTTTGCATATTTTTTCGAAAAATGCATATATTTTGTAAATATTTCAACGATACGAGACGATTTTTCTGCTCACAGAAATTCTACTACAAAAAATCTAGAGCATTATATTCAGAAATTTTTATAAATTTTATGAAAATTTAACATTTTTTTCATTTTTCCGTACATATTTCGTAAATATTTTAGGTATATATTTCAGCAATTTTTCGTAAATACATATCCGCCTTTTGTTCATAAAAAATCTTTAAAATATCCAAATAGCAGATCCTTAACCCACAATCTGTAATATTCTATTAGAGTTACACTAAAATCCATATTTTTCTAATCCTTTTAAATTAAAGTTTATCATTTTTCGTAAAAAAAACAAATTAATTTACATATTTTCAAACCTGATTTACATTTCATGTAATAACTTTTTATCAAATTTTATCCCCCAGACGGTTCATCCCCACCAGTACAAAGCCTGGATGGATAAAAAACAGCAAACAATAATGACCAGAAATCAATTACTTGTTACAACAAAGCGGAAATATTTTACGGATCCGAAACCCAATAAAATTGAAGAGGAAACCATTTCACACAAAAATCTGGTTATTCCCATCACCAAATTTTTAATCTCGACCTCCTCCCCGATGTCCATTCTTCAAGATGCGACCTTCCTTGATCTCGTCAAGTGTATGCAAATTTATTAGCTAATTTTCGTACTTATGACCCCCAATTAATTAACAAATTACTCATCACTAATTTTTAATCATTTCTCCGCTCAGGGAATTTATTTTAAAATTCTGGAGAATAAATTTGTAGAGCAGGGAGTTACCGATTTTTTTAAAATATAGATACACCCCAGATTTTGACCCTTAATGAAGATCTTCGGTTGAAGAAGCCTTCTGAAAAATTGGAACTGGCTGAAAAAACCAAAAAACTTAACGTCATTCTATTTATGATGCAATTTTGTCATTCAGAATTTTAAAATAAGTTCCCAGAGACAAGAAATGATACAAAAGTGTGCTGATTTTGACCAACCTACATCAGAGATTTTTAATTAATTAGTGAAATCAGTTAATTTGCTAATTAATTACCAATTTTCAACTAATTAACAATTATAAATTAGTTTTAATTACCTTACCAGAGTAATTAAACTGAGTCAATTATAATTAATTAGTTTCGTGATATTTTAACCAATTAATTAATTAACTAATTAATTACTTAATTTTTGAGATTTATGTGGTTTGCGCTGTTTCGTTTTCCCAGGTAATGTGGGATGTTTTTTTAATCTGGCAACTCTCCTATTCTACATGACTTATTTTCAAGCCCTCATAATTAAATTTCATGCCATAATTTCATCTTTGTTACAATAAATAACTACATACATACTGTAAAGTATCTTTCAAGTGCCAATAATGGAAGACGATATTTTCAAAAATGAATATGAAAATCTTAACAAACTAACCAGGTCAATACTCACATACCACCATCAGCTACAGTTGAACTTTTATTTAATTGATTGATTATGGAATGACTAATGGAATGATTATGTATCCAAAAAATATAGGCGATGTTAAAATGTAACCATTATAAATTTGAGTTGCCGGTAATTATTTCTGCAGTCCATAATTTTATAATGTAGTTGTAAATTTTGCGTTGAAAATAGAATTTTAAAATTTTATAAATTAAAATTTTTTAACTAATTAATTATTTTTCCAGAAGTAATTAATTACTTTTCTTAGAAGTAATTAATTAGTAATTATAATTAATTAGTTGAAGCTCTCTAATTAAAAATTGATAATTAATTAGATTAAAGATGTCGGCGCTAATTATTAATTGCTAATTAATTATTCTTTGCACTAATTAAAAAGCTCTGACCTACATAATAATCGAACCCCAACTTCTATCTTCTAAAGGTCTCAATCCTACCGCAATCCTACCCAAGGAAAGCCTTATCAAGACAAAAATCGAAACCCTTCGTCACTCTTTGGTCTCCGAATTAAAGGATACATTCGCCCAACTTGATTTCCTCTGTGTCACGGCGGATTCTTCGGAAACGTCGACGTCGACCCAACTAGTCAAAATCACGGCACACTGGTTGTCGTCGTCCGATTTGACGAAACGCGACTCCGCTGTGCTGGCAGTACGCAGATTTAATAAACATCAAGGACGCCACGAAATTCTGGGGCTTATCTCATCCACCCTATTTCACGAGTATGGTCTCGATAAGGACAAAATTGTGTGTATTATGACAGGAAGTAACTGGCTGAAATGTGGCGAAAATTTGTCTTACGGTTATCAAGGTCAAGATCAAGGTCACGGCGACATTGATACTGATATTCAGCACAAAATCCATCCACCCCATTTACAATTCGTGTCCGATACTCTAACTCGTATCGCGGAGGAAGAACCCACCAAGGTAAACTCGTTATTTAAAATTCGAAGACGCTCTGATTTTGACGAAATTACGATAATTATGTAGCCTTAGATAAATAATTAAACACGTGTTTCAGGATTTTTCATAATGCTCACTTTAAACTAAATTATAAATAAATCATGCGTATACGAGAATCTGTGTTTTTATCCCTCGCAAGAAAATTTTTAGGATAAAAATGCAAATTCTCGCTCACATTTTCCATCATAATTTCGTTTAAACTGAGCATTTTGAAAAATTCTGAAACCATATACCTGTTCTGTTTCATTCATGTGACTGATTATTATAGTGAATGAAAATAAATGAAAATTAATTTTTCTTGTCATTTGAATGAAAATGACTCAAAGTTTCCGTCATTTCAGATGAATGACTGTGAACGAAAGATTTTTCACTGTTTTCATTTTTCACACTATGCTTAATACATGGGGAAGCAAGAAATGAGGTCAGATGAAGTGAAATGAAATTAATTTGAACGAAAATGACTCATACCTGTTCACTTTCATTCATTTGAGTGATTATGATAGTGAGTGATAATGAATGAAAATGAATTTCCTATGATTTGAGTGAAAAAGATTGAAAGATTTCATCATTTCAGATGACTGACTGTGAATGAAAGATTTCTCACTCATTTCATTTTTCACCTCATGCTTAATACATGGGACGATGTAAAAATGAAGTCAGATGAAGTGAAATGAAATGAATTTGAAAGAAAATGATTGAAGGTTAATGAAAATCTTCAGTCAGAAATAGGGATGACTGAACTTTGAATGAAAACTAAATTATTGAACAGGTATGAAATGACTGAATGTGAATGAAAATCTTCAGTCAGAAATCATAATGAAATGATAACTGAATTTTGAATGAAAACTAAATTTTTGAATAGGTACCATGTAATTTTTTTTTTAATGTTTAAAAACTTGTTTCAAAAACTTTATTGCTCCATTTGCTCTATATTCTACCCTATCTAAATTACTATTTAAGAATACTTTATTCTCAATATTTCACAATTTGACTTCAAACCTTGACAAATAGTAAAATCTCTGCCAAATTTTCCTCCCCCCAATATTCTCCAGATTTTGATAAGCACAAAAAATCTCAGACAAACACGGAAAAGTATAAACGGAAATTTACATACTTCTAATATTTTTATATTTCCAAAAACTTTGGTAAAAAATTTTAACCCTCTCTACAACTATACCTGAGTTACTTTTTATAGGTAATACTTTTATTTTCAAAATTTTACAAATCCTCGTCAAAACCCTGAAAAAATAATTGTAACACAAATTATTTTCCCCCTGATGAATAAAAACTATATCCATTTTCCTCCCCCAAATCTTATCCAGATTTTGATAAGCACAAAAAAATCCCAGTCAAAGACAGCACAGAAAAAAATGACAAATTTTAAAAAATGATAAAAAATGAAAATATAATAAAAAAAATAGAAATTGGCATTCTTTTAGAATTTGCATATTTCGAAAAATTTTTGTAAAAAACTTATTAGTTCGGAATGATCCACCCAACCTGATCAATACTTTATTCTCAATATTTCACATTTCTGACGGAAGATTTTCAATTACACTCGGTCATTTTCATTCAAATTCATTTCACTTCACTTCATCCGACTTCATTTCTTCTTTCGCTCAATGTATTAAGCATAGGGTGAAAAATGAAATGAGTGAAAAATCATTTCATTCACAGTCATTCATCTGAAATGACGGAATCTCTCAGTCTTTTCACATCACAGGAAATTCATTTTCATTCACTTTCATTCACAGAATATAGATTCTACCAGAAGAATCGATCTTATGTATTCGAGTGGCGCTTATGGAAGAACGGGGAGAGCCAACCAAATAACTCGGTGTACATTTGGCCCACCTCGGGGATGGCACCTCCGCATCATCATCACATCTCCTGGCATCAAAAAATGATGACGAAAGCACATAGGTGGCGGTGGCACCCCCATTTGTGCACACCCTCGTAGAGCATCAAATTTGTACAGACGCAGCTCAGAATGGTGTGTTCTGGTGCACAAATCGGGATGCCACCGCCACCTATGTGCTTTCATCATCATTTTTTGATGCCAGGAGATGTGGTGGTGATGCGGAGGTGCCATCCCCCAAGTGGGCCAAATGTACACCGAGTTATTTGGTTGGCTCTCCCCGTTCTTCCATAAGCGTCACTCGAATACATAAGATCGATTCTTCTGGTAGAATCTATATTCTGTGACTTTCATTCACCATCATAACCACATAAAAGAATGACAGTGAACAGGAGTGTTTACAATATTAGATGATTGCAAACTTATACATAAACCGTCGTGTCTATCTAAATTTATTGTTGTGAGATTATCAACAAGTGACAAATTTATTGATCGACGTCTACATTGCGCATTTAAAATGCGAAATAAATTCATACCTGTTCAAAAATTTCACATTTACTTCTTACCTGATTTGCTATTCGTCAATACTTTATTCTGAATATTTCACTAATCGACTTCAAACCTTGACACAGGATAAAAATTTTAGCAACAGTTTTCCATCAACCAAAAAACCTCTACCCATTTTTATCCTCCAACCTTATCCAGATTTTTAGAACACAAAAATTTTTTTAGAGCAAACACAGAGCATTTCTTGCAGTTCTTGCTTTGCAATAAAAGAAATGTAGCAAACCCGCAAGAAACAAAACACTCTAACCATCATTAAAGTTTAATTAATTAATTACCCCTCATTAAATTGATATAATTGTAATCTAATCTCTCAATTAATTATTTATCCGGCAGATTTCTGATCCAGTTTTCCACTCCGCATTTACAAAATTCAGTACCCTCTGCACTCTCGCGTCTTCCAAACCTTTTCTCGACAACCCAAAAATCTTCTTCCCACCCCACCAAATATCCGATTGGACCTCAAAATTCGACGCTATCGCGGCCCTCCTTTCCACAAAAGCTGATTCCCTCCCCGAAATTTGCCACGCTTTCAACCTGCCAAATTTTACCCCTGAAGAAATCGCATCCTTATCCCGATATTCCTCAATCTTATCTCATCTCCACTCCACCATCACAAATTTCCACTCTTCGGAAACTTATTTTGGTGACGTTTTCCCCGAAATTCTTCGCCTTCACGTCAAACTAACCGATATTCCGAACGATCCGCTCGCTACCCGGATAATTTCCGCCCTACAAACTAAATTCGGACCCTTGTTCGAATTTTCCCCGAAATCCGAATTCTTCATCGTCGCTTCCATAGCACACCCATTTTTCAAAACGAGATGGATCCCATCTCATCGCATGGACCAGTGCAAACAGATCTTTTACAAGGTCGCGCTTGAAATGGGGGACAAAAATCTTGAATATTCCCAACCTCGCATCCACGACGAAATTGTTTCAAAAAAGGCCAAACGGTTTGGATTTGATGAAGATGCACATAACCTCAAAAATCCAGTGGAACTCGAATGTCTCAAATATTACGAGGAAAAGCGGACAGATTTCCACATTTTAGACGAGTATCCATTAATTCGACGTATTTTCCGGAAGTACAACACCCCATTGACCTCAAATCCTGAAGAATCGAGGTCATTTAACCGCTTTAATGACGACGATGACGCTCTATTCGAAGCCATCGCCATGCTTAAAATCAATTTTAGTGACACGATTAATGATCTCGACTATAGTGCACAGTGTAACATTAAATTGGAACCAATTTCATAATTTTAACTTTAATTAATTATTTTGCAAATTAAGATGGATTATTCACAATTTAAATTAGAGATTTTGCATCTTCCGTAAATAAATAAATAAATAATAAATTACTAAATGGATTTATGTATTATTTATGTACTATTTATTTATTAACTTGGTAGATTATTAGTTTGCACGGAGGACATTGTTTATAATTAAACAAAATAATTAATTAGCATTTCCTACGTATGCACATAATTTTAGGCGTAACTTTTGATTCCAGTAAGTAAATGAGGCAGGAGAATGTCTATTTTTGAGGAAAACTGCACAGATTTCCGTATTTTGGACGAGTATCCATTAATTCGACGCATTTTCCGGAAGTACAACACCCCACTGACCTCAAATCATGGTCATTTAACGGCTTTAAACACGATGACGACTCAATATGCGAAGCTGTCGCCATGCTTAAAAGAAATTTTATAGTGACACGACGATTAATGATCTCGATTCCAATTCTAAGTTTTTAACGTTAAATTTGAACAGTTATTTAACAGATTTTAATTACCATTAATTATAATATTACGTTTCAAATTGAAAAAAAGAGTAACTCAACATCTTAATTTAGTCTTAATAATTAGCTACCAGTGAACAATTCATTGATCGACGTCTTAATTGCATCTCCTGTAAAATAAAAAAAATACTGAATAACGCATTTGCAAATTTCCTAAACTATTAGTTTGCACATTATTTCTACATTAAATTGGAGCCGGCAATTAACTAATTATAATTTGGATTTAATTATAATATTAGATTACTAACTATCCGTATGGACACTGGACACTTTCGCATCTAATTTTCCTGTTGGAACGTTACTGACAAGTGACAAATTTATTGATCGACGTCTTAATTGCGCATATTCTGTAAAATAATTAAATAATTACGAAACGCATTTGCATAATATCTGTATTTATTTATGCACATACTTTAGATATTTTTTTCATAATAAATTGGACCCATTATAATTAAATTCAATTAAAAATTAATTGAATTAACTAATTTTAATTTTAATTAACTAAAAATGTTACATTTCATTACTCAGTCGCATTTTTTCATCTAAATTGATTATTCAGTGATTATCGACGACAAGTGACAAATTCATTGATCGACGTATTAATTGCGCATATTCTGTAAAATAAAAGAATTAAATGCATTTACAAAACTTATTAGTTTGCACGGCGGAATTTTATCCTACATTAAATTGGATCCGGCATTTTACTAATGTTAACTTTAATTAATTCCAGTATTAGATTAATTAATTAGACTAATTATTCCGGATCTTCCGTAAAATGAGTAATAATGAAATTCATTTGTATATTTGCGTCGTACATACAGTATTTTTGCAAGGAGGACATTTTTAATTAGCAATACTTAATTATGAAATTAATTAATTAATTAATTACTTAATTGGCAAATATTAGTTAAATAACTTTAATACATAATGCATACGTTTCAAACTCAATTTCCAGGTACATACACATTGGACACAAATAAACAATAAGTGCATGAAAATACCCGGTTTCATATATGTGTTACCCGTTTTTTTTATATCGGTCACTCTCGCCAGTTGCCAGGCTCGCAAAATGCACAACAAAAACCCGACTTGTCATTTACTTACAAGGAAACATACCGAGGTGTCCAACGAGTTAAGGGTCGACACCTATACCAAAATGACCACAATACATGACTTGTTAAACAAACTGAAGGAATTTCCGTGTAAAATTCACTTTTCGTCAAGTTTTGACGATATTTCTGACGAGCGCATGACCATCGGGTTGCCAGAGAGAGAGAGAGAGGTCGGTCGCTGAACGATCAGATCGAACACAGAGAAGCTTCGTCGTCTTCAGAGATTTCAAATTCTTTCAAATTTTGAAAACCACTTGAAATTTTGAAAAAAAATGAAATTTCTTCAAAATTTCAAAAATTTCTTCAAAGTTTCAAAAATTTCTTCAAAATTTCAAAAATTTCTTCAAAATTTCAAAAATTTCTTCAAAATTTCAAAAATTTCTTCAAAGTTTCAAAAATTTCTTCAAAATTGTAAAAATTTCTAAAATTTTCAAAATTTTCTCAAAATTTTTTCAAAATTTTCTCAAAATTTTTTCAAAATTTCGAGATCTGTTCAAAATTTGAAAGAATTTGAAATCTCTGAAGACGACGACGGTTCTCTGTGTTCGACCTGATCGTTCAGCGACCGACCTCTCCCGCTTGGTCATGCGCTCGTCACAAATATCGTCACAACTTGACGAAAAGTGAATTTTACACGGAAATTCCTTCAGTTTGTTTAATAAGTCATGTATTCTGGTCATTTTGGTATAGGTGTCGACCCTTAACTCGTTGGACACCTCGGTATGTTCCCTTGTTAGTTGTAAACACGATTTCAACTTATATACAAATACAAATTTTTGAAAATTGTTGATTCACCCATACTTTTTTTCGAAATTGAAATCATGCCTTTGGAGAACCATATTCCGACCTGGTACGACACCGAAATTCGGTTCGACCTCATGACCAGGTAAATAAATAAATACATATTTTTTTTCTTACTAGTATCTCTCACAATTGAAGTCTCCCAGCGTATGCTCCCCGATTTTAAGCAAATTAGTATCAATCGATGACAAATTTAATTAGGATGAAATTTGTGAAAGACACAATCTCCCAATGGGCACGTTTGGCCAAGATATTTGCATCTGAAGAGGAAAATACGGGCAGTAAATTTGGGAAGTGTAAAATTTGTCGTCTTTCAGACGCGTTTTCTCCTGTTGGGATGCAAATATCTCGGCTAAACGTGCCCACTGGGAGACCGCGTCTTTCGCAAATTTCATCCTAATTAAAGTTGTTATATGATTGCGAAATAGTGTCACAAATTTAATTAGTGTGAAGTTTGCAAACGACGCGATCTCCCAATGGGCACGTTTTATTTTTATTGGCACCCGAGGAGGAGAAAAAATGCACAGTAACTTTAGAAAGTGTAAAATTTGTCGTCTTTCAGACGCGTTTCTCCTCTTGGGATGCAAATATCTCGACCAAACGTGCCCATTGGGAGATCGCGTCTTTCGCAAATTTCATCCTAATTAAATTTGTGATTGATTGACACTGCATAATTTGCTCAGAATCGGAGAGCATACGCTGGGAGACCTCAATTTTTAGTATGATTTGACCTTTGACCTTTCATTCAAGATATTTGAAGCTGTGCACGGGTGAGAAAACGTTTGAAGTTTTGGACCCCGTCGAGGACACCAAAGGCAACAATGGCGAACCTGGAAAACTCGTCGTCACTAATTTACGACTCATTTGGCAGTCCAAAAAATTCCCGAAAATAAATCTATGTAAAATTACCAAAAATTAAGTACAATTAGATAAATTCACAATTACAATAATTTTTCTGCTTATTTTTTCAGCAATCGGTTACAATCCGATAACTTCGATAAACATCAAATCCGTCACATCCGTACGTACGAGTTTGTTTATAATTCAATTCTTTTAAAATTTTGAAATCCTTATCAGCGAACTCTTCGCTAACATCAACACATTTTTAATATTTTCTCGCTTCTGGGAATTTATTTTAGAATTCTGGACGACTAATTCGTAAAGCAGGTCGTTGCCAATTTTTAAAAACGTACACCCCAAATTTTGACACATTTTGAATGAGGAGATCTCATGTTTAGGAAGCTTTCAGAAACATTGGAACTCATCGAAACTGGTTAAAAAACTCAAGCCCATTCCATTAATCAACTAACTGACTACAAATTTGTCGTTCAGAATTATAAAATAAGTTCCCAGATGTTAAAAATGTGCTGATTTTGACAATTTTGGTAATGAGTCATCAATTCCTACAGTAACTTTTGTTCTTTTCAGAAACTTCGCGGATTAACTGAATCACTGCACATTCTCGCAAAAACTAAAGCGTCCCGGTACGAATTCATCTTTACGAATTTGGTCATTGACAACAACCGACTGTTCTCTGTGGTCCTCGCCGTCCAAAAGTATGTACATACATACATAACAATAAATATTGCAAATTTTTTACGCACTACTTTTTTCCAGAGCGTACACACAATCCCGGCTTTATCGCGAAATCAAGATGCGAAGTGGCATCGTAGTTGCCAACAAAAAGTTGCAAATGTTGCAAAAAGAACAGATTTGTGAACAAGTAAATGGCGTCTGGAATTTGAGCAGTGATCAGGTAAATATTTTGCACACCAAATTTTCAACAAGTGACGGTTACTTATTATCAGAGGGCGGATACGAATTTACGAAAAAACGTCACAATAATTACGAAATATAACGAAACTATAAAACTAAGAATTTTAGAAAAACTTGAACCTTTTAAATTAATTTTCCGGATTTTTCGTGGTCCACTTTCTTCAAGCAAAAAATTCATCTCATATCATTCAATAATTTCCAAAATATACATATTTTTGAAAATATAGTTCGAAAAGATTTACGTATGTACGTATTTTTCTAATCATAGGGGCCATATTTTTTTCGAAAAAACTGACTACTAGTAAATCATTAGATTCAATTGCTGCACTTCTTGGAATTTAACTCTTTTGAGTTCACAAGTTTATGTAAAAGTTGGATTTTTCTAAACTAAATGTAAAGTTTTCAAGTCGAAATAAAGTTTTTGAAGAAGTAAATTAATTCATTTATAGTAAATTAGATTGCACTCTCATGTGTTGGAGTGTTTTAGATGAATTTGGGCTGAATCTGATATTTTCGAAAAATCTGTATTTTTGAATACCTATAATCCTCTGGATTTTCTTGGTGCAATTTTTTAAGAAAGCTCGTTTCTTAAAAGATGTTTTTTTTCGGTCAAAATTCTCTAAGCAAAACAATTCCGTCTCAAACAGTTGAAATATTTTCAAAATACAAGCATTTTTGATAAACATTTCCCTATTTTTCAAATAATATTAGGTACGTCATGCTCGTATATTTCGAATAATCTGTAGAAATATTTATATTTCTGAAAACCTAGAAATATATTCCAATATGAAAAATATTTTGAAATTTTTGTGCTCTACGCGAGTTAGCGAACACATACCGACAAAGTTTGATTGTGGGTCGTCATCAAATGAAAAAGTTGAAAATAAATACATAGCCGCTCTCTGATTGTTATAAAAATGCTAATTTTTCAGGGAAATTTGGGCTCCTTTTTTATCACGAATGTCCGCGTCGTCTGGTACGCGGCGTCCAACGAATTGTTCAACGCTTCAATTCCATTCCTACAAATTGCCGAAGTATGTAAATACAAAAAATCAAAATAAGTTTCCAAAATTTTTACAAAAAATTTGTTTTAAAATTTCCAGATAAAAATTAGAGACTCCAAATTCGGAAAGGCGTTAGTCATCGACACGACGGAATCCGGGGGCAGCTACGTCCTCGGTTTTCGGATCGACCCGAAAGAAAAGCTGCTCAGCGTCTACAAATCGCTAATGTCCATTCACGAAACGTACATGACTTATCCCGAGTATGGCGTCGAGTTCAATCCAGACGTAAGCAATTCTGATATGTTCAAAAATTTTGAAAATTTTTCGAAAACGAATCTTTCAGTACTAGTGCTTGAAACACTCGCAAATTATGGAATTGTTTTTAATTTTTTGAATGCCAAATTTAAATGAAGTTATATCACGTCGAAAGTTTAATTTTGTGGCATTTTAAAATATAAAGTTTCACAGAAGATAAAATAACCTCTAAATAAGGTGCAAAATAAGCTTGGCAAAATTTTCGAAAAAATATGGTAATTTATCAGTGTTTCGTTTCTTGCTGGTGGTTTGTTACATTCCATGCACTGCAAAGCAAACCACGCAAGAAATGCGAGGTGCACGTAACTGGGAGAAAGTGGGAGAAATATGCGCCATCTAATCAATCGCCCTATGCAGGAATAGCGAATGAGTTTCTTGTGCCTTGCATCGCTTGTTGGTCAAAATATGTTGCTGCAAAAAAAAGAACACTTTCTTGGCGTTATTTCTTGCAAGTGATTATTTGGCAGTGTTTAGTTTCTTAAGGGTTTGCTACATTTCTTGCAGTGCAACGTAAGAAACTGCCATCTATCCACGCGATGTATGAACTATTTACAGCGGGGAAGCGTAGTTTCTTGCATTTCTTGCAGGTCAAAATACCTACAAAAAAACTTGCTTTCTTGTCATCATTTCTTGCACCCCAAATAACTCACATATAAATAAATATATAAATAACTCACTAATTTTTCACATATTTCCTTATTAATTAGTCCATCGAGGCAGAATCCGAAGAGCGTAAAACGCGCCTGGCCAAGGGCGTCGTCACTTTTGCGGACGAAGTCGAGGAGATCGAGGACAACCCGGAATTGGTCAGTGACGCCTTCGGCGCCTACTTCGCGGACGGATATCGACACGAAAATGCGGCCGATCGCGAAAAAAAAGTGGAAATCATTTTCTGCGAAGAGCTCGGACTTGCCGTCGAGAAACCGAAGGATGGTTTCACAATGCAGCAATTGTGGGAGGTTATCCCGTCAAATTGATAAGCTAGGATTGATAAGCTTAAATAAATATTGAATCATTTTCGACTTTTGATAAGCTATTATTAGTTTCAAACGTTGTAAATGTTTCATAAACAGAAACTGTATAAGAATCTATTCTGTTGTTCTGTAAATATTTCCAAGTTTTCATAAATGTCCACCATCAAATTGATAAGCTAGAAATGATAAGCATAAATAAATATTTTGTTGTTTTCGAACTTTGATAGGCCACAAGTTTCAGAGTTTGTTGATATGTTTCAAAACAGAGGGTCAAAATTTCTAAAAATTTGTCAATGTTTTTCTGTATTTCCTAATTTTCCTAAAAATATTAATACTTCTTGCATACATTTTTATATATTTCAGCTACGTATGTATTATTTCATAAATATGTAAATCTTGGTCCATTTTTCTAAATTAGTTTTTTGTTAATTTCTATCGAAAATTTTATACATTTTTAAAATTTAAAAAATTATGTGAACATACATAATTACACAGACGGATTACACAGACGGATGTGTTTTCTAAATTAGCTGAATCATTTATGTTTGATAATTTGTATAAGCAGGTAGAAGGGAAGATAAATTTGAACCAATTTGGGAGTCTTAAAAATTCATCTACTTCTCATTATTTAGTGCAGATTAATCATTTTATATTAAAATGTGCTGAAATTCCAGGAACGACGGTAATAGTAGCAGGTATTGATAGTTTTAAAGCGTTTGATTTAGTCGATCATAAAATATTAGTTGATCTGTTAATTAATTATTTCGGTGTAAATGAAATTGATGTTCTGTGGATAGTTTCTTTTTTGAGAATGAGAACCCAGATTGTAAAAAATGGAAAGGTTTTATCCGATGAGGAGTTCCTCTCTTATGGAACAACAGCAGGCACAAAATTAGCTGCCTTAGTATTTATTTTAGTGATTGATTTTGTATTACAGAAATTACAGGACTTTTTTATCAACAATCCAAATTTTTGCTGTGCTGGATTTGTCGATGATATTATACTAGTTGAGCGAGTTATTAACAATCGCCCAAAAATGCAGGAAGCATTGGATTGTTTAGCTAGTAGTTGTACGGAAGTCAAGATTAGGCCCAATCCTCAAAAATGTGAAATATTGTTGGTTAACTTTGGAGGACGCAGGATTAAATACGAATCCAAATTTTTCATTCATAATGTAATGGTCCCTGTTGTCCAAAAAATTAAAATATTAGGAGTAACAATTACTGGTAGTTTTAAATGGGACGCCCATATTCAAAATATTGTTGGTAAAGCCAACTCAAAATTATTTCAATTGCGTAAACTTTTTACAGCAGGCTTTAGTATTAACGAGCTGGTAAGAGCTTATTATGTTTATTTGCGGTCTAATCTCGAATATTGCTCAGTAGTTTGGGGTCCCGGATTAAGTATTAAATTAATTAATAAGTTGGAAAGGGTGCAAAAAAGAGCACTGTCAATTATTAACCGTAAAAGGGTCGATAGGTTCAATTATGAGGAAGTTTTAGAATTACATAAAATAGAATCATTGGAAAGTAGGAGGAATACTGCACTTGAAAAATTCGGTTTCAAGTTATTAATTGGAAGGTACAATTATTTTCTACCATTATTTACTGACAACCAAAATTTGAGGCCATTGAGGTCACAAAAGGATATTATTGTTCAACCTTATATTAAAAATTCGGTGTATCAAAACTCAACTATTAATGCAATTATCAATAAAATTAATGAGGAGTATAAAAAATCTCAAACAATTTATGGTTATAAACTAGAAACAATTGTAAACCTTAGAAATCCCCCACTTGTTGAATAATTAATTAGGCTATATTAAACTGTAGATAAGATTAATTATATAATTTTGTTATTGTAAGCTCATGAAAATAGTTCTAGTTTGTTTTGCAAAATCAATTGGATAATATGTTTTTTACTATTAACCCTGAATTTTGTAATCACTAGTATTAGTAAATGAGGATAATAAATGCTTATTATTATTATTATTATACAAGTTCATCTATAGTGGAATTTTATTACTGAATAATCTAAAAATAAAAGTTTTGACGTTAAAATTGTCAAACTTTTTGCTCTTAGTGAATTTTGTGTTTTTTTATTAATTGAACGAAAAATTACGGAGAATTTATATTTTTATGTGGTTTTTTTATAATTTTTGTCTTAATTTAAATATTCTTATCAGTGGTACGCAAAATTTTGAGTTATTCCAGTTTTAGATTTCAACGTCAAAAATTGAATTTTTTGATTTTTCAAATAAATCTTTATATTCTAAAGATGACATGATTCTCCTTGAATAATTTATTACAAAAATTTTATTACAGAGGAAAATTTGTGAAATGTGGCTAAATAAGTTTAAAAATTTCATATTAGCGTGCAAAATGACTCGTGGATAAGCTTCGTTAAAAAATGTTTTCCTTCCTTCATCTTAAAAAAATAAAAAATATTTCGAAAATATGAGAATACTTGGATTATATTTTGTAATCAATAAATTTAGTGAATCTGTCGACAGTTTTATTGCATACAAAATTTCATTGAATTTTGATTATCTTTTTCTTAGGTGAGGCAAAAGTAAGCATGAGTGCCTGAAAAAAAAGTGTCACCATGGTTACGGCGAAGCCTAAGTATGCTTTCGTATACACCCTTTGAAAATGTCAAGAGGGGTAGAGCCTAAACGGTTAAAGATAGCCAAAAAGTGTAAAAGGCAATCGTGCAGAGGAGAATGAGGAGATGATGTTTTACAGCTTTCTCGGTAGAAAAGTTGTGTTGTGGGCTCTCTAATCTCGATTTGAAACTTTAGATTCGAAATTTGAGACACTTGCACCAAACGACTATATGCATAAAACATGATTTTATCATGCAGAAATCGGTTGTGCATCATTTAAAGCAAATCCGATGGAGATCGGTTTAAATCTGAAAAAGTTTTGATGGAGGCATCTGACACTACTCATGTTGCTAAGCATTCTTCATCAGAATTACGATATTCTTAGCTGGTTGTTCTTAACAACCAGTATAAAAATTTTCTATAAATGCAGTCCGTTTACGATACGACCCTCCATGTCACCACTGCAATGCTATTAGTAATGAGAGTGATGACGTCGAGGATCGTATCATAAAAAACAGGAGTAGTTGTGTTATGAAATTGCAACACTGGTACATATGTACCTTATATAAAGTGCTTCAATATAACCAACCGAATGACCGCTTAGAAAACAATTTAAGGCATACTTGCTGGTTGAAGTTGTGGTAAATCCTGATTATTAATCTGGATTGGGGATTGACGATTATCATTAATCCGTAAGCCAAGAAGAAAAGCAATTCCACTCTCAGCCAACTCTGTCAGCGAAAGCAATCACCAAATTATTTAACCGAATTCCGACCAGTGATGTGAAATATTAAATTAGAGTTTCTGAAACGCGTGGTAGATTGGTTTTTCAACGCCCTATGGGTATTTTCAACTAATTTTGAATTTTGTCTTAAGTTTAAAAAAGCTGACAATATTTGAAACATAGTTTAACAATTTCGACCAGTGTAATGAATTGTCTGAAAATGCATAACCCTTCAAATCAATAAAATAAAATAATTTTAAAAAAGCTTGCTTAGGTGAGGCGCTGCTAAAAGTGAAAAACAAGACCTCTGGGGATCTCTTTTAAATATCTCGTCCCCTCATCATTGTAACAGGAATTGGTGGCTTTGCATCACCGCGAGGCCAAACATTTTACGCTAAGCTTCTAATAATAAAAATAATTCGTTAGAGCAAAATCTGGGTTTACGAATTTTTCAAAATTATCATTTATCACATTCTCATTCGTATTGAAAACTAGTTGTGCTATTAAACACAATTTGAAAATATATCCTCGCGTGGTGCCCTCCAAATGTATTCGTCTGCATTTTCATTTCTTAAAATACAAACCCGCTTAAATAATGACGCACAGCGCATGCCACATAGGTATATACATTATTGAACCTTACATCTTCCCATAAAATTAAGAAATATCTAACACCAGTCTTGATACAAACGGTTATTGTATTGAATTATTTTGAATAGCTAATATTTCAATACATATCTACTACCGTTTATAACACTGTTGATAAAACTGTAATTGTTAATGCAGCCATGGGTCGAGATGGAAATACTATTCTTAAATTAACCAACCGAGACAACATTTCTGAAATTCGTCCAACCTGGCTGAAGTGATGTGCATAAGACGTGCGGAAAATTGTACACGTCCTTCAAATTTTATTAACTGGTTGAAGTACTGGTTAACCATTGAATCTTGTGTGTAATAAACTGGGTGGCATGTTAATGTTATATGGTAGAAATGTTTGGCCTCGCGGTGATGCAAAGCCACCAATTCCTGTTACAATGATGAGGGGACGAGATATTTAAAAGAGATCCCCAGAGGTCTTGTTTTTCACTTTTAGCAGCGCCTCACCTAAGCAAGCTTTTTTAAAATTATTTTATTTGAAGTGTTTATCACTCTTATGAAAATTAGGATTACACTTTCCTTAATTTATTTCAATTTCAAAAATTTTATGCAAAATTCAGTATTTCGTTTTTTTGCGGGTTTGCAACATTTCTTGCTCTGCAAGGGAAAACGCGCAAGAAATGCGGGGTGCAAGAAACATGCGCCATTTAACCACGCGCCGTACGAATTATCGCGGCGGGGGGCAGTTTCTTCATTTCTTGCAGGACAAAACAACTGCAAGAAACCATTTTGGGGTCATCCATATATTACGTTATCAAAATTTTTCGATTTTAGCACCCACCCTCCCATCGTATACAATGGGCGTACTCACGACAACTTCTTATTTCGCATCGCAACTCATTTAGTAAACTTGCGAAGATCAAAATATTTCTGTCGTGAGGGGATTCGCAAAATATGAGTTCGCAAATCTCTCTAATCTCGCAAATCTATTGAAAACCACTAATTTTGGAGGAGACCGTCGTTTAAATTTATTGATCAGAGTATAAGCTGTGTTCGCAGAGTTTATACGAAAAAAAAAATCACAAAAAGTATCGAAAAAAGCTGACTACGCAAAAGTCGCACAAGAAAGGTCCCTAAACTTAAAAAAAAGAAATCGCAGAAAATCGCAGAACATCGCAGAAAATGTCCGTAAAAAGGGGGTGAGAGAGAGCGGACTACAAATAGTACACTTCCTCCAGTTCCTTTCCTGGAGGAAGTGTACCTAAAATCGAAGCAACGTTCCCACGTTGAGCAGCGAGGGAAACCCGCTGGCGCAGAAAGTTTACGGCGTTTGGCTGCCCAGTAGTGGCGGCGATCCTCTGGCCAAATTGGAGGATGAAGGCCAGTCCCTCTTGGCCCCATACTCCCGTGGTCTCCATGGCAACGGGGACAAAA